TATGTGAGATGGACAGACTCCCTAAATGAAGTCCCAATCGTGAGTTTGCAAAAGCTGTGGAGGACAGGGCATTTTGGAGATGGCTCGTTCACAGGAGTGCCATGAGTCAGAGATGATTATGGCTCTTCCACCCTTTTAAGGACTACATGTTCTGCTTTTTTGGTGTCAGTGCATAAAGCAGATAAAATGCATCCACTAGCAGCCAGATTCCTGCATCACTCTTTGTGTGACCACAGGAGGCTAATAATCGGTGGGTGGGTGGGAAATTAGCAAATTTAGAGAATCCACACCTTCAGTGATAGGGTCGAAAAAGCATAGTGGACCCTCAAAACTGAACTCTTCTGTCTGGCCTTTGGTTTTTAAAATTAGCTTTATTATTAAATCTGGCTTTAAATTATTTAGCTGTGAGTTGCTTTGGCCACACCGATAGGCACAGAAGTGATTTATAAATATTTTAAATATTATTTAAATTAAATTAAATTAAATTACATTTTTTGGGGGGGGCAACACAGAGATAACAAAAGTTTGGTGAGGAAATCTGAGTGCCATACCCGTAAGGGGAAAAAAATACTGCACAGTTGCATTTCATCACTGTAAACTCCCCAGAATAAATGCATTGCACTAATAGGGCGGTGTTTAAATTTAATAAATAAATAAATAAAATGCATTAATATTTGTAATGGATCGATCCCAGGACTATGGGAGATGAGGGTAGATACGAACATCAAGCCGTGTACAAATTGGAAAGATCCCTGAAACAAGAAATATTTAAAAAAAAAAAATCCTGACGAAGAGACCTGTAAGGTTCCAAAACTTGCAGGGTTTTTAAAGAAAAATCACTGCCCTAAAGCTTTTCCATTTAATTCTTCCCTTCCAAGAAAGAGTTAAATCGTGGAGGGTTCCCTCCTCCCTCCCCCCCCTCTCTCCTAACCCCGCCCCCTCCTAACCCCGCCCCTTCCTCCCCCAGCCAATCCGCACCTCCCGCGGAGGTTGGAAGGCCTCGTTCCCCCTCCTTCTGATTGGCCGCCGCCTCCATGGCTCGTCCTCGCCCCATAGCGAAGGCCAATGGAAAGCGATGGCGCTGCTATGGCCCCCTTTTCTCCCCAGCCGGGGAAAAGCGCCTCCTTCGCGGTGCCTTCTGGGAGTTGTGGTCCTCGGGGTGAACAGCCCGGCTTGGGCTGCTGCGGGGCGCTGACAGCGCCAGAACTACGATTCCCAGAAGACATCTGGGCGCATGGGAGTCTTTTATACTCAAAATAAATTGCAAGCGCAGTTAGTACTGGAGACAACCTTGGGGGTGGTTGGAGCAGGTAAGACCTGGGATGGAGGAGGAGGAGGAGGAGGAAGGAGGAAGACTGGGTCCCTTGCATTGCATATCATTGTTTAACCCTTGCAAGGGGGGAAGGTAGTATGGTGTAGTGGTTAGAGTGCCAGGTTAGGGCTTGGGAGACCCTTGGAATAATGGTCCCACCCCAGCATTGGGGCTCACTGAGTGGGGTATTGAATGCAAGCTGGGATTTGCATGCAAGGAAGGCATCACTCATAAATATTCTTGATGAGGATTTATTAGGTAGGGACGAAAAGCAAATTCTCAGCCCCTTTCCCTCTCTTATCAAAAGCAATGGGGTGGAAATGAAAGCAAGGGAAGGGGGTTCAGGGTGCAAACCTTCCAAAAAAACCAACCCCCCAAAAATATCCCGCTTCTCTGCAAAAGCGGCTTTGCATTTAGAGCCATCTTGCAAAGGATGGTTAAAAAATAATAAGGTTATAATCCAGAATAACTCTCTCTTTGCTTCATCCCCTGTTGAGATGCCCAGGCGTCGCTGCTTTGGGAAGCTCAAAGCCCATGAAATGCTAAGTAAATAGTTGAATTTATCCGTGTTAAGGAAATAAGATTGTTTTTCCCGCAGGGTTCGAACTCGGGACCTGGCGTGCATTCGCTAAACGATCTCGTTTTCTAGGCGGGAGGGACGGGTTGAATGGAAGCAGGATCAATACAGGGGTTGAGAGCGGCCGGAGAGCGCCAGGGTTGAGGTCTCTGGCTGTGGAGCCAGAGGTTGGGGGTTCGAATCCCCCCACAAGGTTTTGTGCTTTTCTGCTTCAAGACCCGACAAGGAGAGCGAAAGAGAAGGCGGAAAGGTTGCAAGCATGCCCTTCCTCAACGTATTTGGGCGTCAGTCATCTTTGGTGTCGTCCCATCATCCTCTCTTTCTGTGTCTTCCAGGCGGAAGGATGAGCAGTAATAGCAAGCAGTCGGTGGGCGCCATGGATAAGGAGCGGTTCGTGGCCTTCTTCCCCCAGGTGGTTAAGGATCTCACGGACGATGGGCTTCAGCAGAAGGAAGTGGCCGATGCTTTTATCCGGTTGAAAGAGGTGAGGATTTATTTATTCCCTGTTATACCCTGGAATTCTCACTGGGGTCAGAAGTGACACAAAGCAGGGGTTTTTTGGCCCTAGCACATCAGATTTAATGTGAGGATTGTTATTATCCTTGGTTTGTGATTTGATTTATGAACTGCAATGCAGCCTACCCAACAAAAATCTGTTTACTCTTCCCTGTTTCTGCCTTCTCCCCAGCCCTTTTCTGTTTTTTTTTGGAGTGGGAAGTTTGGGGAAACAAGCTTTGATGGCGTACTGAGCCATCGCGATAAGCCAGGATTCATACAAACCAGGGTTTGTGAGCTGACAACAAACCATGATCTCGTAGTATGCTTTGGGGGGGCTGGTTTAGTGAGCCACCGCTTGTTAGTAGACATGAGTGTGCACGTCGCAGCAAGTTAAATGTTAGCTTGTTGTGACGTCAGAATGCTGGCTTAGGCGTATGCTGAAAACTGACCATTGATGGAAGTCCCATTCACTGGCACGGCTGGTTTGAGATGTCATCCCTGGAAGATGAAAGGACCCAGCTAGTAAAAAAATAAATAAATCAGGGCTTAATGTGCAACCTCTGGAGCCCATCTAAAACATCTCTTCCCACTTTCCCCTGCAGGTACTTGAGTACAACGCCATTGGTGGGAAATATAACCGGGGCTTGACCGTGGTAGCTGCTTACCGGGAGCTGGTAGGACCTGAGAAACAGGATCAGAAGAGCCTCCAGCAGGCGACGGTTGTCGGCTGGTGTGTTGAACTGGTAAGTCCTTCCCCCCGGGGTGTGGAGCCATAAGCGATGGAGTAATGGGTGGTGTGACTCTGGGGCTTAGGGCAAAGTTGGATTGCACCACCTTCTAAACTTTCTCCGCAGGGAAAGGTCTCTGATGGTTTTTAGCAAGATTTGGCTGAATTTTCCACTGGACACAGCCGGCGTCTGCGCCACGTTGCACTTTCTGGACAAAGCCTTTTCAAAAGGTTGAAGCTGACCACCACCGCTGAAAATAAATACAGTGGTGCCTCGCTTGACGAGGATAATTCGTTCCGTTGAAATCGCTGTTAAGCGAAATCCTCGTCAAGCGAAACAAAAAAGCCCATTGAAATGCATTGAAACCGGTTTAATGCATTCCAGTGGGCTAAATACCTCAGCGTCCAGTGAAGATCCTCCATAGGGTGGCCATTTTCAGTGCCTGTAAAGCGAGGAATCCGTCCTGAAAACACAATGGGGAGCCATTTTGCACAGCGAGTGGCCATTTTAGAGCCGCCGACCAGCTGTTTCAAAATCATCGTTTAGCAAAAAAAATCGGTTCCCAAAGCAGGGAACCGATCATCGTTAAGCAAATTTTTACCATTAAAACATCGTTTACGATTAAAACATCGTACCATTAAAACTTCATCATCAAGCGGTTTTGTCGTTTAACGAGGTAATCATTAAGCGAGGCACCACTGTATATAAAATGAGTTCCTAGACCTCGGTTTGTGGTGAGCCTTCTTTCCATCCAATCTGGGCCTACGTTTCTCATTTATCATCTATTGAAGGGCTTCAGGAAGAGAC